TGGGTGACACACAATATATTACAAGTGTATTTAATTTGTCTAATTTTATTAATTTTGTAATTATTTAAGATGTGTAAAAGACTAAAAGTATTCATTTATAAATTAATTTTAAATTATTAAATACTTTTAAAATTAAATTTAATTATTTTATTTTATTTATTTATGACTCTTAAAAAAATATTTATTACAATAATTAAATTTTTTTTATTTTCACTTTTACTCTTATTTATGATTAAATGATAAAATCTTAATGTATTTCTATCTTATTAGAAATAAAGATAAAATTAAAATATTAATATTTAATATCTTATTAAAAGTAAAAAATAAAATAATTAAATTAGCTTATCTTTAATTAAAAAATAAGACAATTAAATCTAATTAGAAAAAGTAAAAATACACTCGGTATCATATAAGAGCAGGGATTGATTGGCATCCACCATGACTGGTATTTTTTTTATTTTTTCTTAAAATAACTGTTTTTTTTAACCTTTTTTCCCCTTAAATTAAGTATTTGTAGATAATATTTATATTTATTTATAATATCTTTAAAAAATAAATAAAAGATAAATTGAATAATTAATTAAAATGAATGGATAATAATAAATTAAAGTATAAAATTTATTTATTTATTTTAAAACATTTTAAAAAATAATAATTAATTTAAAATAAATTTAAAATAAAAATAAAAATTATTTTATAACAAAAAAATAGTAATTTCTTATGCTATCATACTTTGAAATGTTGCCCATCAATATATATATATATATATATATGGACCTTGACATGTTTGTTTGAGGCTACAAAACCTAGTGAGACAAAGAACTACGTAATTCAATTAAGGTGCACTTTGGAGCAATCAACAATTCAACATTTTTCAATGACTTGTTTGTCTGAGGATAAGGAGTTCGGTTTCTCTTAAGTAAAATTTTAAATTCGAGTCTTGTGAATGGAGAAACAGATATTGAGAGAATTTCTTTTTAATGAAGTCTAATACAACTTGATCTTAGATTAATTGAAATTCAATGTGGTTACCGAATATTAAAAGATTAATACAAAAAAACAATTCAACATTTTCAGTGAGATTCTTCTAAACATAATTTGGTGTCTTCCATTAATTACTTTATGGTAGATTCATCACTAAGTTACTAAAAATTGAGTAATATTACTTCCCTTAATTAGCATGATAGATTGGTGCTAGATTCATCACTAAGTTACTAAAAATTAAGTAATATTACTTCCCTCAATTAGCATCATAGATTGGTGCTGGGTTTAAGAGGATACAGTTGTCTCATATAAAATTAATACCATTCGATTAAATAGTTATTGTAGTATAATTTAAAATGTCGAATTTACAAAAAAAGTTAGTTTAAATTATATCACAACTAGAAAATTAAATAAAAAGATAGTTTTTGAAATTAATAAGAATATTTAAATGTAAATGATAATGATTAAATCATGAAAATAATATTATAATGAATAAGATTCTAATATTTATTTAATTGATTTATTTAATTATTGTTTATTTTTATTTTTATTTATTACTCAATTAAATGTTTCGCATTTTAAATAAATAATTAGAAGATATAACTTTGAAAAACAATGATAATAAAAAATGTATTTATTTTGAGAAAAATTAATTTAAATAAAGAATAAAATATTTTACTCTTATGAGTTATTTAAAAGTGATAATATAATTAATCAACATTATACAATAAAAAATCAACATGTAAAACAAATTTACATGATCAATTTGATTTTAACAAATTACAAATTAAAATAGTATAACCAATCTTATATGAAGTTTGATAAAAAAAAACCTTTGAAATATTTCTATTATTAAAATAATTAATAATCTCTTAAAAACAAAATTAAATAATAAATCTCTTGTGGAATCATTTATTTTATGTTGGATTATGTCCTTTGCTCAGATTAGCAAAGTTGTTTGGAATTAGAGATGGTCACATTGAGTTCCATTGTTTTCCTTCTTAAAATTGTCATTTATTTGTTATGAAATGAAATTTGTGAGGATTCCTTTCCTTAAATAAAGTTGGCATTAAATTCTATTAACATTTTTTAAAACCATTTTTTATGAACAATAATTTCTGTTACTAACACAATCTAATTTATATGTCAAATTAAGTAATTTAACAGTACTTCAGTAAAAAATTAAGCTAGATTTTATATTGTTATAGTTTAAATTTCTAGGTTTGACTTTTAAAATTAAAACAATTAAAATTAATAATTATAAATTAAAATATCAACATAGTATTGACTATAAATTTTTAAATCTGATATCTAAAATTAAAAAATTAATTATTTTATAAAATTTATTAATTTTATACACTAAATTTTCTAAATATTTAAAAACCAAAAGTTAAAAACTAAAAACAATAAAAATATTAAACAGTCCCAATTTGAAGATTTTTTTATTAAGAAACATAAAAACTTTGACAACTAGAAACCGGGGTGTGATTATTGGTAC